CCCGTGCTTACCTTGCTCCCGAAGACCCAGTCCCTCTCGGGAGGGTAACAAGGGAAAGTGTTCAGTGCAGATCAGTGAGTAAGCACAAGCCCGCCTGTGCTTACCTTCCTCCCAGAGACCTGGTCCCTCTCGGGAGGGTAACAAGGGAAAGTGCTCAGTGCAGTTCAGTGAGTAAGCACAAGCCCGCCCGTGCTTACCTTGCTCCCGGTGACTAAGCTAGGATCCAGTTAGCACATGGTTAATTCTTTTTACTGTTCCATGTGCACTTGAAGACCTTGCATTTGTTCTACTTGTTGGATGTAAAGATCAAGGTTGTTAATTTCATTGTTAGTATTTCATTGTCCCAATACTTTATATCCTTATCAATTTTGTGAATTTTGTGTGCTTTATATTAGTTTTTATTAGAGATGTGTTAAAATTTTCCATATTAATGCTGATTTGTCAATTTCTCTTTGTATCAGTCTCACCAGTTTTTTGCTTTCCACATTTCCACCTTTGTCATTGTTGTTGCTGTTATGTGCCCTTGAGTCGGACCCGACTCATAGTGACCCCTCCTTGGGTTCCTGAGGCAGTATCACTACAGAAGTAGATTGCCCCATCTTCCTTCCAAGGAGTTGCTGGTGGGTTTGAACCACCAGCCCTCTGGTTAGCAGTCCAGTGTCTTAGGCACTATGCTACCAGAGCTCCCCGTTAGCTGTATGCAATTTCACAAGTAGTGTCTCTTCCTGTGGGTTGTTTCACATATTATGTAGTTTCCCTCTTTTTCCTTCATAATGCTTTTTGTTTCAAACACAATTTAGTGATACGTACTAGAACCATTACTAGTTTTCTTTTGGTTAGTATTTGCATGGCATATCTTTCATCTCTTTACTTTCTGTCTTCCTGCTTGGCTTTTGTCTTTTATGTGCATTTTCTAAGCAGCATGCAGCTGAATGTAAATTTAAAAATTCAATCTAATCATCTTTATCATATCATTGGTGAATTATATGTTTACACTTACTTAGATATATTTGGATTAATTTCTCCATTTTTTTTCTTCTTTCTTGTGTACCATTGTATTGAAATATTACACCATACATTCTTTTGCCCCTCTGCTGATTTGGAAGCTACAAATCATGATACTTAAATTGGTTTCCCTTAAAACTTCAACATCTCCATTCAACCACTACATTTCCTAAGGGGGACGAGAGTTACTCTGTACTTCATTCTTCTTCCTGAATACATCAAGAATTTAGCACCATTAACTACCTGTTATCCCTTTTGCATTGTTATCTTGAATTCTACTTTACCTTTAATAAATATAAAATATTTAAGATGCACAAAAATTATAGAGTTAATATAATGAGTATCCTGGTAGCATAGTGGCTAAGACACTTGCCTGCTAACCAGACGGCTGGCGGTTCAAACCCACCAGCCACTCCTCGGAAGAAAGGTTGGGCAATCCTACTTCCATAGTGATACTGCCTCAGAAACCCAAGGAGGGGTTGCTATGAGTCGGGGCCGACTCGACGGCAAACAACAACAACAACAACAACAACAAATCCATGTCTTATCACCCAGCAAAAGAAACAAAACATTATCTGTAGATCAGAGCCTCCAATGTGCTGCCTTCCTGTTCATTTCCCCATTACTTGACCTCTAACACACAAAATCACTGCTGTCATGATTCAGTGTAATTTCCATACCTTTCTTTACACTTTAATCACAAAAGTATGTATCCCTCAACAATACGTATTATTTGTTTTGCATGCCTAAAAATTTACATATTTCATCATACCTCTGTAATCATATTGTTTTTCTGCAACTTAATATTTTTTCAATATTAGTTTGGGTGACCTATTGTTATGGGTTATGTTTCCCAACAATTGTTGTTGTTATGTGCCATCCAGTCAGACCTGACTCATAGTGACCCCTCCTTGGGTTTCTGGGGCAGTATCACTACAGAAGTCGTCTGCCCCATCTTCCTTCTGAGAAGTGGCTGGTGGGTTTGAACCGCCAGCCTTCTTATTAGCAGTCAAGTGCCTTAGACACTAGGCTACCAGAGCTCCCCCCAAGGATATGTGTTGTAAATCCTAACCTCTATGCCTAATCCCATTTGGGAATGGGTTGTCTTTGTTATGTTAATGAGGCAGGATTAGTATAGGGTCTATTTTGAGTTAATCTATCTTGAGGTAATTTCCTTTGAGATATGTTGTTGTTGTTATGTGCCGTCCAGTCAGACCTGACTCATAGCGACCCCTCACTATGGAAGTAGATTGCCCGACCTTCCTTCTGAGGAGTGGGTTTGAACTGCCAGCCTTCTGGTTATCAGTCAAGGGCCTTAGGCACTATGCTACTAGAGCTCCTTCCTTTGAGATATAAATAAGCTAAATCGATTAAGGAGAGAGAAGCAAGCAGATACGGAGGAAGAGTGATGCCAAGCCACATGAAGATTGCCCAGCAGTAGAAACTCAAAGACACAAGCACCTTCCTCTGGAGCTGACAGAGAAAGAAAGTCTTCCCTTAGAGCCAGCACTGTGAATTCAGACTTCTAACCTCCTAGAAAATAAATTTGTTTGTTAAACCCACCTATTTGTGGTATATCTAGCAGCACTAGATAACTAGACACCCATCTATATTGACATATATAGTTCTAATTTATTTACATGGCTATAGTATGTAGTACTCAATTTAATGAATATACAATAATTTATATACTCATTCTAGGTAGACATTTAGGTTATTTTTAACTTTTTTTTTGTTATAAATAACAAAATAAATTTTCTATAAATGTTCTTGAACATGGTTCTTTGTAAACATTTGACTGATTTTTTTCTAGGGAGTCAATTCAGTAGTGAATTGTTGGGTCATAGGAAATGCCATCCTAGACTTCAGTAGATATTGCCAAATTGCTCTTCAAAGTGAGTTTTAACAATTTTTCACTCCCACCTGCAATATGAATGTTTTCACAACTCCATATTTTTGCCAGCATTTTGTCAATTTGATGGGTGTGAAATGACATCTCTTCATGGTTTTAATTTGTTGTTTCCTAATTACTAGAGAAAGGAGCTCTGGTAGCATAGTGCCTAAGACACTTGACTGCTAACCAGAAGCCTGGTGGTTCAAACCCACCAGCCTCTCCTCAGAAGGAAGGTTGGGCAATCTACTTCTGTAGTGATACTGCCTTGGAAACCCAAGGAGGGGTCGCTATGAGTCGGGTCTGACTTAATGGTACATAACAACAACAACAACAATTACTAGAGAGGCTGGATAACTTCATATGCTGATCAGGCATATTCCTTTTCTGAGAAGTTTTTGCTCATATTTTTGTCTTTACTCCTTTTGGTTGTTTACCTTTTCTTATTGATTCACAGGAGCTCTTAATGGTTCTGGAAACCGATTATTTTTTGGGACTTCAGAACGAAAGGGAAATGCCTAGGACTATAAACTTCAAGGGAACAGATGGGATCTGTTATCTCCTAATAATCCCCATTTCAGGGAGCAGGCCAGAGCAGCCACTCCACTTAGGGACCCATCAGAGCTGAAGACGACCTTTTGGATCTAAGAACCCTCTGTCCTTTACCACTCTGTGGTCTTGTGCACTTTGATACCTATCTGAAATCCACTTTGGAGACTGTGGTACTTAAGGTTATGTGTCAACCTGGCTGGGCCTGGTTTTGAGTGGCTGGGCAGCTCAATGTAGTTATTCCCCATGATGAGACTGGTAGTCAACTCCATGGTAGAATGTACTGTAAGAAGCTAAGGAGTTGCCTTAGGGATGTGGTCTGCTCCCAGTATATAAGAAGATGCTTTGAGAAAGGTCTCAAGATTTTTGACACATTTGGATCCTGCATTTGGCTGAATCTTCTTCTCAGTGACCTGCCATGTTGTCTGCTGATCTTGTGACTGTTTCCTGGACTCAAACTCATGGCCTGCCGTGTTATTGATAATCTTGGGACTGTGCCATTTTATCTGTAGAGCTTTGGTTTGTCAGCCTCAGCAGCCAGAAGCTGAGTAAGAAAAGCCTCCAGCTTCAGTGGGCAAGGAGGAAGAGGAAGAGCTGAAACCCAAGGTCCAGGGACTTTCATCCAGCCCCTAGAGCTGGCACTTAAACTCAGACTTCTAGCTTCCTAAACTGTAAAGAGAATAAATTCTTGTTTGTTAAAGCCATCCACCTGTGGTACTTCTGTTAGAGCAGCACTAAAGAACCAAAACAGAGAGGACAGAGGAAGAAGTTGAAGTCAGGAAGAAGTGGAAGTCAGGAAGAAAAAGAAACCAAATTATCTTATACTGAAGGAGAGATTTAAATCAGAAGAAAATATAATCATGTAAATGGGTAAGTATAAATTTACCTCTTCTGCCAATTACCTGACAGAATGGAGACTCATGAGAAAGATGAGGTGAATATTAGAATGTGAAGAGTTATTATTATTATTATTTTCATATATTTCATAGTTTCATAGGGAGTAAACTACAATCCTTTTACAGTTGCATTAAAGTCATGTCTTAAATACTAAACAATGTTTGATCACTATTCCACTAGACTATTACAATTTAAAATTTCAAATAAGTGAAATTTTCTCAAGTGAAATTCACTTCTGCTTGTATATCTATATGTTAACATATTTGAACCTGTTTAGTAAGGGTTATCTGAATGTTAAGAATTCATGCTCAACAGGGGAAAGAACAAAGGCAAATTTTAACAAGGAAATGTTCGTAGTGATTTTTAAAGCTATGTAACATGATCCTACCGTTCTGAATACCCGCTTTCTCGGGCAAACCTCTGAAATGCGCCCATGGGATCTGAGCCTGTGCTTAAGACGAATATGAGGGGAGTATTGTAGGACATGTCTTGATACAGAGTAGCCAGGTCCACAGGTGGTGTCTCTATAAACCGTTTTCCAAGGTTTTGTATCACAAAGTCTGTGAGAGCAAAAACCACCTGAAAGTTGAAAAGGTAAACATTAAAACAAAACAAAAAAACAATGCTAGATGAAGATTCTTTATATTTTTCTAATTCTCATTCCATGGTGCCCTGTATCTCTTCCTATTGACAAAATTTTGTGGGTTTGCCAACCTAATATCTGCTGAAAAGCATGGTTCTTAAGACTTCGCAGAGTAAAATGAACCACTCGATGAGAAGAAAGTCTCTCATCATCCCATTTATCCTCCAAGCTGCCATCTCTTTACCATCACCTCCTGTCCTAGCCTCTCGCCTTCTTCATAGGCTTTACTCAATGCTTCATCATCGCTTTCTGCATTATTCATCTCTCTCTGTATCCTGATTTCCCCATCATCATACAATTAGGCTTTATTATCTCCCATCCCCAGAAAATAAAGCAAAACAAAAAAATTGAACCTTCCTTTGATTGCAGCACCCGCTCGGCAACTATTTAATTTCTTTGCTCCCCTTCATAAGCTAATTTGACTTTAAATATTATCTCTCTATGTTATCTCTCATTTGCCCATTGGCCTCTTCTGATTTTTCTTAGGAACCTGCTTCAGGCCTGATGATCAAGACCCTGCCTGGTCATTACCTACACTGGTAAGTTTCCTACACTGACCTCATCCTAGCCTCCCACCGTATTCTTGCTCTTATAGGCCTTGTCAGTGTTTTACCCTGGTCTGCTCCTACATGGAACCTCTGTGTGTAAGGTCTCTTCCTCAAAATGGTTTACTTCAATGTACCAGAAAGTGTCATGATAAATACACAAGTCTGCCATGTCTTAGTGTGAATGGCTCCCCAAGTGTTGTGCAGTACACATCCCACACAACAGTAAGCAGAATCCCTACTTTAACCTTAACTCTCTATTTGATACTATTAGATGGTAATACCACCCTGTCTAAACAAGCCTTTTTTTGGGGAGGAGAGAAAGATGTCTCAACCTGGTTCAGGGCTATGACATTGAATCATACTTGTCTGTGGCCAACTTGGGAAAAGGTGCTCCCATGTTTGCCTACCTAAATGAGGGTGCATTGTAAAACTACAAAGGTGGCATGGTTTTCACAAGAAAAGCCCTGCAACAGGCTAAACGTGTTTGGGGCTTATTTCTAGTTTGGTCATTGTGTGACTAAGTACGGTAAAACCTGTAAGAGCTGGAACTCAATGGGACTATCTTGTTTTTTCTGGGTCTTGCTAGTTTCCCACCTTTGAAAGGGTGCAGTCTTACCAGTTTTCTATTGCTATTTGTGGAAAATACTTGAATTTTCCTTTGCAGACAGGTTTCTGATTTACACATGTTCTGACTTTTGCAGGTTTCAATGTATAATTCACTTAGCCTTTATAGTTTCAATTTATTTATTGTTTTATGTTTTTATTCATTTTGAAAATGATGAAATATTTTAGAAATTAAGAAACTAACAACACAGAACCATGTGTTCATGATCCAGCTTTGTGCTTCTATCAAATCCTAGAATTTTGCAAATTGTGCCTTGGATGGCCACTCACAAGCTTTTAAGACCTCCAGCACTACACAAAGAACTATAAGACAGAAGAGAAGCACTAAACACTTTATTAAGTCAATTAACTGGGTATCCCATGACACCATGACCCTAAACTTCCAGACCAAGGAAACAAACCCCATGAGGTTTTTAGTTGTACACAAGCAGCTTTAGCAGCTACTATTGGTTTTTTTTTTTTTTTTGGAGGGTGGTGTTGTAGATATATCTATCACACAACTTTTGCCAACTCAACTTTTTAGAGATGCACAACTTATTAACAGCAATTACAGTAATCAGACATGTAACCCTACCCTTAATCCATGTTATTTTTCCATCACTGTTAAATCCATCCCACTCCTGATAACCAGTAATAATCTTTGGTCTTTATGCATTTGTCTTTTTACATAAGTAAGGTCATATAATATTTGCTCTTTTGTGACTGACTTATTCACTCAGCATAATGTCTTCAAGCTTCATCCAAATTGTAGCATGTACTAAGACTTTTATTTTTTCCTGCTGGCTGAGCAGTATTCCACTGTATGTATGTATCCTATTTTATCTATTTATCTGTTGATGAGTATTTAGGTTGTTTCCACCTTTTTACTAATGAGAATAGTGTTGCAGTGAACACTGATGTACAAATCTGTGTTTGAGTCTCTGCTTTTGGGTATATACTTAGGGGTGGAATTTCTTTATTTTCATTTAAAACATTTTTGATAGCATAAAATACTCAGTTTTTTAGTTTTCTAAGAAGTTCTCAAAGAGTTTATTATAAATGACTACATACAAAGCACCAGTAAGTTATTTCCTGGGGCTTCTATGTAAATACCAAAGTAGTAATATACTCATGAAATGTTTTAGAACTCAGAAAAGTTAGAGAACTATTTCCCTTGTAAATAAAACAAACAGCCATTAACATTATACAGAGATCTGAGTTTCCAATGACTTTATTCATGAGCGGTTACAAACTATTGGTTCCATATACAATTTCTCATGTGAATGAATTTATTTTTTGTTGTGAAACATTTCAAATATGCAGAAAATAAATTTGCATAAACACACCCTCTAAGACTTATATATATATATAAGTCTATATATATATATATACACATACTATAGTATATATATATATAATATATGTATTGCTATTACCAGCAGACATGTTGTTGCTGTTGTTAGGTGCCATTGAGTCAGCACCTGGCTGGCTCTCCAGCCTTTTCTTTTATCATTCTTTGTATAAAATGCTATGTTCTATTAATAATATAGATGGTCTGTTTCTTACAGGCACCTCCCAAACTTGCCCATTGGTACTCTCTAAATAATAAATCTATCCAATTTATGAATCACAACTGGCATGCTGAGCTTTAGTAGAAAGAGTGTAATACAGTCCTTTAATTAAAAACAAAACCCTACCAGTTGGGGTAAAATGGTGCAGTCTCTGTGAAAAAACAGTCTGGTGTTTCCTCAAAAAGTTAAACACAGAATTACCATAATCTAGCAATTCCACTCCTAAGTGTGTTCAAAATCTTCAAAGCAGGGATTCAAACAAATGCTTGTACACCAATGTCCACTGCATTGTTATTCATGATGGCCAAAGGGTGGAAACAATCCAAGTCAACATCAATAGATGAATGTTGTTGTTGTTGTTATATGCCGTCGAGCTGGCCCCGACTCATAGCGACCCCTCCTTGGGTTTCCGAGGTAGTATCACTACGGAAGTAGGATTGTTCAACCTTCCTTCTGAGGAGTGGCTGGTGGGTTTGAACCGCCAGCCTTCTGGTTAGCAGTCAAGTGCTTTAGCCACTATGCTACCAGAGCTCCTGAATAGATGAATACGTAAATAAAATGTGGTCTATACATACAATGGAATATTATGTAGCTATAATGAGAAGTAAAGTTTTGATACTTTTTTGATAAAGTTTTTGATAAAGTTTTTTGGTACTATAACATGGATGAATCTTGAAAACATTATGCTGAGTGAAATAAATTAAAAACAAAAGGACAAATATTGTATGATCTCACTTCCATGAAATATCTGAATAGGCAAATGCATGTTGTTGTTATATGCTGTCGAGTCGGCCCCGACTCATAGCGACCCTTCTTTGGGTTTCTGAGGCAGTATCACTATGGAAGTAGGATTGCCCAACCTTCCTTCCGAGGAGTGGCTGGTAGGTTTGAACTGCCAGCCTTCTGGTTAGCAGTCATGTGCCTTAGGCACTATGCTACCAGAGCTCCTAGGCAAATGCATAGAGACAAAATTTATTAGTGGTTATTAGGTCCTGTGAGGAGGAAAGAATGAGGGATTACTGCTGAAGAGGTACTGGTGAAGATTTTTTGGAAATGGGCAGTGGGATGGTCACACAATATGGTAAATGTAATTAATGTCACTGAACTGTAAACTTAAAAATGGTTAAAGTGGAAATTTATTTGGTTATATGTATTTTACCATAATACAAAAAAAAAAAAAAAAGTCTACCTTTTCTTCTTTACAGCATTTAACAAGAATTAGCTTATGGAAAGAACTCAATTCTGGACTCCAAACGTCTCGTTTCATGGGCCCCTTTTCCTGGATCGTGACCTGCTCTTCTGATTTTGTCTGATAATAGCCTTCCCAGTCCAGTGGATTAATGAAAGTCTCAAAAGATCCTGGGAACACAATTTAGAAAGATTCTTTAGTTATATATATATATATATTTACTTTGAAATTAAATAAATGTATTTTGGTAGTTTAAACGATTGTACATTTACTGTCAGTTTCAACCACAAATGTAAATACATTAATCTCCTTTGAAACAACCACATTTTAAAATAAAGAATTTAAAATTGGATCAGAAAAGAAAATCCAACAGCACACCATTTACAAACAGCAAAACAAAAATAAAATAACAGAAAGGTTAAAAATAAAAGCATACCTAAAGATACATCAAGTAAATGTAAGCAAAAAGAACACTGAAGTGGTGAGAGCAATATTGTATAAATTAGAATTCAAGACAAACATAATTAAATGGAACAAAATAGGTCAAGATATATTAATTAAAATCAAAATCCATTATAAAGACACAATAAAATGAATCTGTGTATGCCAGATCCACCACTCATCTCACCAGCTTTTGTCATATTGTCAAAAGGGACTATTCCCTGGAGAAGGATATCATGTTTGGTAAAGTGAAGAGTCAGTGAAAAAGGGGAAGGCCCTCAAAAGATGGAACGACACAGTGGCTGCAACAATAGGCTCAAGTATAGCAGGGATTGTGAGGATGGTGCAGGACTGGGTGTTTTGTTCTGTTGTTCCTAGGGTCACTATGAGTCAGAGCCAACTCAACAGCACCTAACAACAGCAACAACATGTGTGCTGATCATAGCAATAAAATACATGAAATAATCACTGTTAGATGTAGAAGTAAAAATAGAAAAGAACCCATGATACTGTTGGGAAGTAACATACAACTAATAGTCTATGACAGATGAAGTAAATGGAAAACCCTGACATAGATAATTTGAATAATATAAATAATAAATAAATACATTGACATAAGTTCAACTATTGCCCCATCATTCACAGCCTCTCCCTGACCTCCATGCAACATTTATAAGAAATGGACTTGCACTTACACGAGGGTTAGGATCCTAGTTGGCTCTCACAATGGTTATAATGTGTAGCAAGAATTAGTATGGAAATTACTGTAGGGACAGGGTCCATGGTGTGCTGGAAGCATCTCAGCAAACTGACACAGTTAGTGTGTTCTCCAGTGATAGACCAGGTTCCGTGGGTTGAACATTAGGCAAAACAGGTGACTTGCATTTCAGAGCTTGAAAACTACTTTCTTTACCTGGTCTGCTGAGGTTCTTCTCTGACAGTCTAACAATGGCAGTCAAAGAGCTGATGACAAATTTTGTGACACTCAGACTATGGCCCTGGAGTAGTGTGTCACTCTTCAACAATTCTAATTCCCATATAGAAGAGGGGCCTTTACATGATATGAGACCACAAGTCACACCACACCACAGTGCTCTTTAGTCGAAGGTGGCTACATTGCTCTGAAAACGAGGCAGCAACATAATTTATTCCAAAAGTGCTTCTTTTTTTTCTTGAGGTCCTCGTTCCTCGTTATTATATAATTACAAGGACTCAGACCAACAGACAGGATTTAATCATGTTGTCAGGTGCCATTGAGTTGTTTCTGACTCGCAGCAACCCAGTGTACAACAGAAGGAAACACTGCCCAGTCTTCGACCATTCTCATAATCATTGCATGCTTGGGCCTACTGTGGCAGCCAAGGTGTCTATCCATCTTGCCAAGGATCTTCCTCTTTCCCACTGACCCTCTACTTTACCAAGCATGATATCCTTCTCTAGGCATTGGTCCCTCCTAATAACATGAGCAGAGTACAAGAGACAAAGCCACCCATCCTCACTTTAAGGAGCATTCTGGCTGTACATCTTTGAAGACAGATTTGTTATTGTTTTGACTGTCCATGGCATATTCAATATTTTTCACCAACATCATGATTCAAATCCATCAATTCTTCTGCAGTCTTCCTTATTCATTGTGCAGCTTTCACATGCATGAGGCAGTTGATAATAATATGGCTTGGGTCAGGCACTACTTAAGTATTCAAAGTCACATCTTTCTGTGGCCTTGGGACCACTGTTGCAGGGGACATCAAGCTCAACTGGTATAACATACTACCAAGAACATTGTTTTACTTCCTACTTTGGTGAGTAGTGACTGGAGTCTTAAAAGCTTGTGATTGGCCATCTAAAATGCAACAATTGGTCTCTCTTCCTCTGCAACAATGAAGAAAATCAAAGACACATGCAAACAGTCCAAGGGACTAGTGAACCATGTCAACCTCAGCCCACATGACCCTGAGACCAGAAGAACTAGATGGTACCCAGCTACCAATGCCAGCCACTCTGAAAGGGATCAAAGTTGGGGAGCCTGGATAGAATGGGAGAAAAATGTGGAACAAAAGTCAAAATAACAAAAAAAAACCCCACAAGCTTACTGGTCTGATAGAGACTGGTGAAACCCCTGAGACTATGGCCCCTAGTCACCCTTCAGGCCTGGAATTGAACTCATTCCCAAAGCTTCCAGCTGAACCACAGACAGGCCTACACTCCCAAGAAAAAATCAACCATGGGAGATCAGAAGGCCAGCATTTGCAGAGAGAGATATCTCAAGAGGGCAGGAATGCACAGGATAGAAGGACACAGGGGAAAGATAACCGTAGGGAAGAAGTGGGAAGAGAGCAGTTACATTGTGGGGATTGCAATCAATGTAATGAAATAAATTTGCTCTGTATCCTTTTACACAAGTCACAATTAAAATTTTTTTTTTTTAAAATGAAACAAGCAAAAATAACAAAGTCACATCTTTGCACTCTAACACTTTAAAGAGATCTTTTGCAGCTGATTTGCCCAATGAAGTATGCCATTTGATTTTCTGATTATGCTTCTATGAGCATTGATTGTGGATCCAAGTGACACGCAATCCTTGATGACTTCAATCTTTTCTCCATTTATCATGATGTTGCTTATTGGTCCAGTTGTGATGTTTTTGTTTTGTTTATGTAGAGGCGTAATTCATATTGAAGACGGTAGTCTCTGATCTTCATCAGTTAGTGCTTCATGTCCTCTTCACTCCTGCAAGCAAGGTTGTGTCATCTGCATATCGCAGGTTGTTAATGAGTCTTCCTCCAATCCTGATGCTATGTTCTTCTGTCTAGAAGACAGCTTCTCAGATTATATACTCAGCATATAGATTGAATAAGTATGTTGAAAGGATGTAACCCTGACACACACCTTTCCTGATTTTAAACCATGCAACATCCCTTTGTTCGATTTGAATGATTACCTCTTGGTCTGTGTACAGGTTCCTCATAAGCACAAGTAAGTGTACTAGAATTCCCATCCTTTGCAATGTTATCCACAATTTGTTATGATCCACACAGTTGAACACCTTTGCATACTCAATAAAACATAGGTAAACATCTTTCTGGTGTTCATACTCTTAGCACAGATTCACCTAACATCACTAGTGATATGCCTCGTTCCATGTCCTTTCTGAATGCAGCTTCAATTTCTGGCAGTTCCTTGTCAATGTACTGCCGCAAGCATTTTGGAATTATTCTCAGAAAAATTTTACTTGTGTGGGATATTAATGATATTGTTTGATAATGTCTGCATTCTGTTTGATCACTTTCTTTGGAGTGGGCACAAATATTGATGTCTTCCATTTGGTTGGCCAGGTAGCTGTCTTCCAAATTTCTTGGCACAAACAAGTGAGCACTTCCAGCATTACATCCATTTGTTGAAATGCCTCAACTGGTATTCCATCAGTTCCTGGAGCCTTGATTTTTCATCAATTCCTTCAGTGCAGCTTGGACTTCTTCCTTCAATACTATTCATTCTAGATTATATGCTACTTTCCTGTAATGGCTGAATGTTGACCAATTCTTTTTGTTATAGTGACTCTGTGTATTCCATCTTCTTTGATGTTTTCTTCATCGTTCAATATTTTGCCCATAAAATCATTCAATATTGCAACTTGAGTCTTGAATTTTTTTCTTCACTGTTTCCAGCTTGAGAAATGCTGTTTTCTTTCTTTTTGATTTCCTAATTCCAAGTCTTTGCACATTTCATTATATTACTTTACTTTGTCTTCTCAAGCTGAAATCTTCTGTTCAGGTCTTTTACCTCATCATTTCTTGTGTTACCTTTAGCTACTGCCTGTTTAAGAGCAAGTTTCACAGTCTCTTCTGACTTCCATTTTGGTCTTTTCTCTTTTTTCCTGTCTTTTAAATGACATTTTGTTTTCTCCATGTGTGAGGTCCTTCCACAACTTGCTTCATCTTCAGTCACCAGTGTTCAATGGGTCAAATCTATTCTTCAGATGGTCTCTAAATTCAGTTGTGATACATTCAGTTTGTATTTTGGCTCTTGTGGACCCATGTTAGTTTTCTTCATCTTCAACTTAAATTGGCATATGAACAATTGGCCCCTGGTCTTATTCTCAGATGGCATGGAGCTTCTCCATCATCTCTTTCCACAGATGCAGTCAATTTGATTGCTGCGTATTCCATCTGTTGTGGTCCATGTATATAGTCACCATTTACGTTATTGGAAAAAGGTTTTTGCAATGAATAAGTAGTTGGTCCTGCAAAATTCTGTCATGGAATCCCCAACAATCATTTCTGTCACCAATACTATATTTTCCAACTATGATACTTTTTGTTTCCAACTTTTGCATCCCAATCACCAATAATTATCAAGGCAACTTGATTGCATCTTTCATCAATTTCAGACTCCAGAAGTTGGTAGAAATCTTCAATTTCTTCATCTTTGGCTTTACTGGTTAGTACGTAAATCTGAATAACAGTTGTATTGACTGGTTTTCCTTGTAAGTGTATGGATATTATCACTGATGGCATTGTACTTCAATATAGATCTTGAAGTATTCTTTTTGGCAATAAATGCCATAGCATTACTCTTCAATTTGTCATTCCCAGCATAGTAGACCATATGATTGTCTGATTCAGAATGGCCAATACTAGTCAGTTTCAGCTCGCTTATGCCTAGGATATCAATCTTTATTCATTCCATCTCATTATTGATGACTTTCAATTTTCCTATATTCATTCTT